ACCGATCTTGAGCTTGGAAGAAGCACTCAGACTTCTGGGAAATCACGATGAGACCACATAGATGTATTAGTATTAAATTAATTCAATTTACGTCCTCCTTTCAAGCCAATACATTGAAAGTTCTACCAAAAGAAGAGCTTAAGAAAGAAGCCTAGAATATTTTAGAAATCACAAAGCAATTCCCTGCCATGAAATACTAAAAATTATATTGAGAACAATATTAGTTTACTGGATATAATAAAACATCTATGACCTCACTAATCTGCTCTAAACTCTGGTTTCTAGATTCCTGTATTTCTCCCAAAATTTCCCATATCTATACATATATATATATAATTAAAAAGTAGGTATTTCCACAAAGACTTAAGTAACGTGAAGTTTTACATCATTCTTCATTAAAAAAAATAAAATAAAATTATGACTTCTAAGCAAAACTTTAAAGGCATTTTCCATAGCTGCATACAGCAGAAACATCACTTTTATGCTATTTCCATCCTTATAGCTAAGTACTAGAAAACTTAGCTGCAGTAGTTCCCATTTGAAGTAACAGGATGGCAAAGCTGAGTTCTGTAAGGACTACACAGCACGTAGAGTTCTTTCCAGTTATTTGCTGCAAGTCATCCATCTGAATTGCATTACCCTCCAGAAAAGCAGGCATCTCCTAAATAATTAATTAAACCTTTCACTTAATATAATACAGAACTCAAACCATTACAGTTCAAGTTTTACTGCTGCTGCCCCTTCTGAAAAAAAGAACTACTTTCTCTCTGCCTACAAACATAAGAAAATTATAAGATAACAACATTATATACATGACTCTTGAGATATCACAAGATTTGTATGGCTTAAACATATCTAGGAAGTCTCATTTTACCTGTCCTGAATGTTCTTCCTGACAATAAGGAAGTAAGATTTAATAAGTCGTTCAATCACTTCACAATCTCGTTGCTCACGGGCAGAAAGTTTGCGGGCAACAGGTACAGGCTGTGTAAAAAGATAAAAACCTCAGTTTACTCAAACTGTGCAGCCTAAAATAAACTATTGCTCTTTTAGTCTGATAGTTTGATAGATGTAACCTGTCTTGCAACAAACCTCTAATTCTTCAGAAATACAATTAGAGACATATCAAAATCCAGATCTGTGAAACAAAGGTCAGAGGGCCCCACTACTAATTTTTTTTTAAAAGCTTACTAAAGGAACTGAGCTCTCCAAACACTTAAAGGATCTCCATCTATCTTTAACTTAAATGTTTTTTGTTTTTAACAATTCTTAAGCAAAAAAGAGCAGGCACTTGAGACATGAGTTGAGATTTGTTTCTGTAGAAAAAGCAATCTAGAAAAGGAGTTCACTTGCACCGGAATTTGTGAAAGGAAGCCAGTTATCCCAAATCATAAGCTGAAACTGGACAGGGGGAAAAATGAAGGACTGGGCAAGCAGGAAAGGAGAAGAGACTGGCTCACACTGTCCCTATAGTGGTCATTATTTACAAACACATCATATATTTGTAGCAAAGTTACACCATCTGGAATTCAGATGTTTTCTTTCCTGAGCCAGAGGAGGTATTCGTGCTTCATGACTCACCACATCTAACAGGTTTACAGCATGTCCTTTTTGAGGACTAGCAGGTAGGGCTGCAGCTGGCTTGGATTTCTCCTCTGCTGATACCTCTTCCGCTTTTGAGGGTTTTAGCATTCCTCTCCAGTTGCCTGTTCCAGGCTCCTGAGACGTATCTCCTCCTCCAGGAGCCGCCTGCACAAAGAGTAGAATGAAGAAACATTGGAGAGTTAGAAGCTGGGCACTGTAAAGCACTGTCTGATCAAATCTACTAATACTGAACTATAGGTAAGACTCATTAAAAATGAGACTCTCATAGGTATAGTCACTTCATTCTATTGTTCATATTCCCCACCTTTGTTCTCCCTTTGCTGCTTACAGCTGGCACAAAGTGCCAGTAAAATGAAAGCTTTTAAAACTCATATTCTTCCTAATTACAGTATAAAAAAGCATAACATAGAGAAGGTCCCCAGCATTGTAAGGGTCTACAGATCACTTCTGAAATACAGAATAATTTTCCTAAATCATTTGGCTTTTACCACTTTTACCATACATCCTTGGAGCAATACAACCAGGATCATTCTTAAAGTATGTTTTGAAGATCACCACAGCTCTTGGAACACTTCAACTTAAAGTCTTGTTATCTCTTACAATAAGAGCTAAAAAACATGCACATTTATGTTTCTGGATACCTAGCTACGAATATATTTGTGCTGCCAGACCTCAATTTACATTAGGCTTTTTTTGTACCAAATCAAAACAAAAATCCCCATCCTCTGGAAGTGAAGATCAGAGTTTCTGGAAGTTCCAGACAAAGAATGACTCAGTGGTCTCCTGAGAAACAGATGTTAACACTCAACTCTTAAACATTAGGAATCACTGGACAAAATAAATATTAGTAGATGGTATCCACCACATGTTAAATTAGTATTTTAAAAAAAAGTTTATTTTGATGTGGAACAGTGGCAATTTTTATTTTGTACCTTTCCATAAGCCTAGTATCCACTCTATTTAAAATACTGTGCTTTAAAATCTGTTGCTGTTTGAAACACATTCAAGGTCATTCAAGGCTCTGAAATACTACTGCTACTTATGTCTTGTTTCACCACAGGGTGATCTTGAGTCTAAAAAAAGTGAGAAACAAAGCGTGGCAGATAGAATACCAACAGCTGCATACCAGGAGGAAAACCAGCTGAATTGTGCACATCAGAAATTTTATTAAAATTGCACAACTGTTCAGAGGCACTGTAAAAAACAGACTATAAAAATTCAAAGCAATCTCTACTAATAAGAGAGAAAAGCTCCATTACATAATTTCTGATTGTAAGACAGCTATTAAAAATGGCAAAAATCCCTATCCCCCTCTCATTCAGTAGTACTGTGGAACATGCTCTATCTCCAAACTTGTTTCAGAAACAAAGCTACATTCTTTCAGAAGAAACAGAGAGTGTTGAGTATGTACCCCTAATAAAGGACAGGTTTTGTACCCCTAAGAAAGGGCAGGTTTTGTGGGAAACACAAACCAAATTTGGCAGCTTCCTGCAACTTCTTAAGTCACAACAGTATCCTCACAGTAGCTGTCGATTTCTTTGTAGACGTGTAGTGTATCAGAATCTCTAATACTCTAACAAAAATAACAGTTAAAATTATACTGCTGACTAGATTTTAACTATTTTGTTCAGGACAGAAATGCAGCTTTGTGCTAGAAGCTGAATGTGCATATGCAATGAAGCAGAAAGCCTGAGTCCTCTTGGTACTCCTAATACACAGACTTGGGACTACCCATCTTTTCTGACTCCAAGTGAAAGCAATTAGCAAAAAACTCTTTACAATAATGAGCTGTTATTTTAACATAAGAGACAGCACACCTCAAGTGTAAAAAAAATCACTGCAGAACAGGTTTCACAAACATAAGTAAACCAGGACAAAAAGGAGGCTCAGTTTGAACAAAGCCTATAAAAGATTCCCTGCGGGAAGCAGGAAACTCACATTTTTAGCTTATCTTCTGTCCTCCTTCTTTAACTGTCAACACATTAAAAACATGCAGTTTAACAACCATGCTCAACACTTTTGATTACAATACTGTTGCACAAAACAATCTATTGACTACAGTTTGAGGAAAATTATGCTGTATACTTGCACCACAATATACTGCAACCAACAGTTCAAACAGAAAGCAGGGACTTTGCCACCTAATGGTTCATCTTTACCTGCCACTGCACATACTAAAAATCAGTAATGCCAAGTAGTCTATACTCCATAGGGCATACTGTGTCAGTGACAGAGCTCTAAATACAAACTGCTTTCCATACTATCTGTGGTGCACCACAACAGAAATGTGCATGCAGTGCTTATAGGAAAAATCAAGACAGACCTTGCCATCAGCCTCAGCAGAAGCAGCAGTAACAGTCTCCTGGGAAGCAGGTGTCAATGCACCTGGAGCTTTAGTAGACTAAAGAAGGTAAAAAATGTAGGGAGGGGGGGAAAAAAAAATTCAACTGAGGACCACCGAATCTACCTAGCAAATTTCATACACCTTTCCCTA